AAAGCTATATGCTCCTTTGCTCACCAATGCACAAATGGATGTATTTGTTTACTAGGAAAGGTGACATTTTTGGCAATTTGCCAGAAGGACTAGCAAGGTTCATACACATTTCTGCACACAGAAATTAAGGACTTTTATGGAAAAAATTAAGGAGTTATGAAAAATTGGGAACTGAAAAAATTGAATTAAAAATATTATTCTATGCCTGAATTTCACTTTTTAATACCATCCTAAAAATAAAATAGATCCCTAAGTAGTATGCATTATTACTAAACATGAATTAATTAACATAATTATTAACAAGTTTGAGAATAAAATAAACTTTATGCAATTTATCAGGTAGCATTAAATATTTTACACTTATAATAGTTGGACATATTTGAAATAAGATGAGTGCCATTTATGTTTTACTAATAGTTAGCCTCATGCTGATTTTTTTATGTCTCGTTTTGTCATATAGTTGGTCAGTCTAGAGGTTTAATAAATAGCATGTAGATTTTATGTCAAAAGACATAGGTTAAAATAAGAAATAAGATCATAATCAGCATGATTCATAACAAAAGACTGAATGCTGTCACCGCTGCTTGTCTAGAGAGAGACCTGCTGATTAAAACAAACCTGAAAGGCCTGATGTAGGCAAGTGTTGAAAGTTAGTCAGGCTCTGTTTGATGCAGTTAGTGTCATAGCTTTATGTAGAGTTCCAGGGGTTGTAACACAGTTAATATACTTTAAGGTTCCGATAAGCCATTAAAGCACCAGAGGTGATAAGTTGTTTTGCATTTTAAGTCTCACTATTTACTTGAATTTTTACATTTTTGTGTTTTACTTAGTGACTACAGTGAGTATTAATGAAAGGCACTCGCTTCAATATGTAGAGATAATTTAGTTATAAATAATTAAATTAGGTAATTAGATAACCTTAGTCATTATGAATTTACATGGCCACTATTAAATTTTATTTCTTAATAATAGTTGTTAAAAGCCATATTAAAATCAAAATCTAATAAAATTTCACAGTTTGAAATACATGTAATTTATAATATTGATTCCTAAACAACATTAGGATAATTACACATTAAAAACTACAAAACATTTATATTTTGTACCTTTGTTGTTACAAAGTATAAATGTTTTGTAACAACAACACTCAACAAAATATTTATCCGTCATTTTAATTTGAAGCCTTCCCAAGCATTTTGGCTGGTTTATATCGATTTCCTTCTCTTTAAGCATCTTTTATAACAAGCAGAAATTTGTCTCAAATTGCAAACCAATGCTCTCGCTAGTTTCTGCATGCTTTATCTCCCAACTTTTCAATGTACCTATGAAGGTTTACTTGATCTGGTAAAAGTTAAATAGTCCCAAACCCCCGACAGACGTGAAACAAATTATCGGTATGTCTGAAAGTAACTACAATATCAAACAAAGGTTTAAATAAACCTCTTATTTGAAAAGAACTTAAAAAATAAAGTCATGTTCTGATGCTAACAAAACAATTACAGCTCACGGTGACGTAATTAAACAAGAAAAGTCAAATTAAAACTAAAAATGTGGACTACTGGTCAAAGATTATACAATTTAATTTTAATTTAATCTGGCTCAGTAACTCTATCATATGAGGAAACAGAAATGGGAAATTATAGTAGAGGCTGAAAACATAAACAATTGGTTATTTACATAATAATAACTGCACATACAATTGGTTAATTTACATAACAACTGCACATAACTTTGAAGAATAATTTTCTTTATGTATTCAGTTTCTTTCTTCAACACGCATCCTTTTCATTTTAGTATTTTTGGATTTAACTAAGAATTTCTGTTATTCTAAAAAACAATAAATGCATTTACAATGTATAGAAAAAGTGGCTAATTTTATTTCTTTTGTAATATGAAAATTCAGAAGAAATATGAAATATATATGTTAAAGGCTGGGTACAGAGCTGGCAGAATTTTCAGAATTTAGCAACACACCGAACAACAAAATCTAGAAATGGCAAAACTTTTAGAATTTAGTGCAGGCATTGGAAGTAGAATTTAAAACGGCACTAGAATTAGAACGGCAGCAGGATTTAGGACCCACAGAGATTGCATCAGGTGGGAAAATGCCTAGTGCCAGCTCTATCTATGATGCATTAAGACATATTAGATGAATCTTTTAAATTGTAAGTTTTCAATTTTTATATTTAAAAAAATCCTTTTCTATAATGCCTGCACAAGTGATAAGATTAGACACATTTTTTATATTTTCCATGCTTGTCTCTAGTGAAAAGTCGAGAAAATAAAGGGAAGATAAACATGTTAAGAAAAAGATTCTAGTATCAGGAACAAAACATTCAAATATTATGTTTTCATTATTCTTCCTGACATTCTCCAAAAAGTAAGAAATTCATCACAAACTTTCTGTAAAAATCATCTATTACGTGTTGATACCATGGAGACATTTTTCATTTTGTCACATATTTCTTGAATCGTGGGTCTACAAATCTTGCCTTCAAATTCTTTCCAAGCTGCAATGTCTAACATACTAAAGAAACATTATCCCTACCAATTCTGTAACAGCAAAAATCCAGAAATATTTTGAAAAAAAAAAGGAGGGGGGAAAAAGTGTAAAATTAATTTTATAGAGAAAACAGATGCATATTCTGAGAAAATTACATGGGAAAAATGCTTACTATGAAAAATTAAAAAGAAGACTTTTTAAATAATTACATAGCAAATTTTGCTTTTGCTAAGAGACGTTTCATAAATTATGCTTTATAGCATTATACCTTGTTTATTTTTCAGATTCAAAATATTTTATAATAAGTTGCCAAAATGAAACTTTATAATATGACAGCAAAAAAATAAAAATGTTTTATTTTAATGTATTTTTCTAAATATAATAATGAAATTTATCAGTGTTATGATGTTTTTAAAAAAACATCGTCGAAAAATTCTCATCTCGGAATTAAAAATTTTCTATAGAAACTGATCTTAAAATCACCAAAATGTTGACAAGTCGGCAAATTTAGAACCGTTTAATAAAAGAATTCACATCCCCAAAAGCAGAAAGTTGTTTAAGAGCTCTTTATTAGAAAAATCAATTTCGAAATGCTTATGTTTCACTTCCTGCTTAGAAACTCAAGTATTCTATCATTTATACACTCACTTGATATGTTGTTGCATGTTAACTCCAGACTGTGGATCCGAAATGTGCAAATTAGAACACTGATGATTATTAAGCAATATATTAATTTACTCTTGAAAGAAACTAATAGTATCACCTTCATTGTTTAACAGAACCCGTAGATCCATGCATTCCAGAGTATATCATACAGTTGTAATAGTAACTAATTTGTATTATGGTGCCAAAGTTTGCAATTACTCGCTCTTTTTCTGCCAAATTTTTCCTTTTCTGTTAAAAACAAGCAAGTACCCAAAATTTTGTGATTAAGTAAATGATATTTTAGGGTTGAAAAAGTTCTAAAACTTCAATTATTTATAGTATACGCACTTCATAAGATTTTCCCTAACTGCCAATATTGAAATATGGAAACCTGTCAGGCTCATGTACTGCTCAGCAATACAATTTCTAAAGCATATCATTCATAAATTTGACAGACTAAATTAAGAATGTGTAATTTGGATTATTAAACTACTTAGAAAGTGACTAAGAATAATGTTGCTTGTTGCAATATTATACTAATTTAATATTTAATTCAATAATTTAAATTTTTTCTTATGTGTTTTGGTTTTACAACAGATATATAATCACATAAATTAGCAAAGTATTATTTATAAATTTAAAGCGAAATTAAATAGAATATTCACTTATTAAACATTAGTAATAATATTATATATCCTCATCTTACAAGCATTAAGTTTGAATGTTCCATTTGTATCCTGAATTTGTTTATAAAATGTTAATAGGTTCACTACACATTATCTCCTAATGATGTTTGTTAGATAAGAGCTATAAATACTATCATATAAGCAATTAAAAATATTACATAAATGGAAATATATTTTAAACTCTATATACAGTGAAGTAGAAAATTATATATATAAATATAGAATTACTTTACTGTGTTGTGTATACATTTGAGGCTAGTAGTTCATATTATGGGTGTGAGTGAGTCAATGTTTGGAAGAACTCAGCGACAAGGAAAGGGGATATTTACGATAAGGTGGCTGTAAAAGAGGCAGGAGGAGTTGTTCAGCAACACCAATTCCCGAAGCATGAAAATAAGTGTCCGAATTTGTCCGAACAGAGCAGTGTATGACATTGTGCATGGTCATTTGTTTATTTTCTTTTTGACTCCAAACAAATTTCACGGATTAATAATAGGTTTGTTTATATCTGTGAAAGTTCATAAAACAGTGAGCATCTGTATAAACATTTCCCTATTAAACAGACTTAAAATAATAGTAATATGCAAATCTCTATAATGGCTTAAAATAATTCAGACCGAATAAAAATGAATAAAAAAAAATCATTTGAAAATAATTTGATTTTGCATAATCTGAGTTTCATTTAAGAAAAATTCAGCTGCTTTTACACTTTTTCAATTTTCAACCAGAATTACTTTCATATATTTAATTTTTCAAAATTATTCAATAAAAATTCGTCTAAGATTGCATTTAAAACAGATGACTTAATTATTCAAATAAATTAAAAACTAGTAGATAGCTAAAAATATCAGGAGTCTCCCAGTTTTATCAGGATGACTGGCAGATTTCAGCTCCTACACAAAATTAAATATATTATGCTGCATGTATAGACTCGCAACTCTGACACTTTCCTCCAGGCCTTTAAACTGAACAAATTGTTTAATGATTTAAGTACTCATAACTAGTAAAAGATGCAATTGCTTCAATTATGATGCAATAGTTTAGGATTCTTATAGAATTTATATGTAGTATCTCTTAATTTTTACAAACATAAGAGTTGATACATATTTTTTTCCCACAACTGTAAATTTAAAAACTTCATTTAAAAGAATTTCATAAATACTTACAACTCCATGACAAGATACACTTTATTTTTGTCTTCAAATGTTTCAACAAGCTGCACAATGTTTGGATGCTTCAGCCTAAATGGGATAACAGTTTGCAAGATTTTAAATCTCTTTAAATAGAAATAACTAAATGAATTGCAGCAAAAAAAAAAAAAAAAAAAAAAAACATGTATATATTAATGCGCCGCAAAAGGAAGTCATGAGGTGTCCACATCAGATACTTTTTCTTGTTTAATATAATTAACATATGATATACTTCTGTCACATATGATTAATTGTTATGCATTAAATTCCTTTTGCAGACACTGCAGACTAGATAAATTTAAGACCCTTTTTACAGAATCCACATGCATGCTTTAATGACTATTCACTGAATAAAGCGATGTGGTAGTTTGTTTTGAAATGTTTAAAATTGAGTGTCATTTGAGACTAAATTTTTGACTAAAGAATCCCAAAGAAGTAAAACAATGCTTGAATTCTATGTATGCTGATTCATATCCTTCCTATTCTACTGTGAAAGAATGGATAGCAGAATTTCCCATATGGGCCAAGAATCTATAGATGATGATTCTTGTGATGATTGATCACTGAAGACACTGACATGTGCTTGTATCCAGAAAATGTGCTCGTATCCCGGATAAAATACCGAGACATATAAAATTTAAATCTAGGAGATAGCAGCAAGATTGCATCTATCTAAAAGAGGTTCTGCACATTCTACATAAGCATATTCACATGAACAAAGTCTTTGCAAGATGTTTATCATTACTTCTTTCAGCAATTCAAAAACAATGTGGTTTAAGGAGCCTGACCACTCTCTTACAACATAGATTTAGCTCCAAGTGATTACTATCTGCTCTCCAAATTGAACTCTGACCTTTGCAGAAACAGATTTAATAACGATAACATAAAAAGAGCAGTTATGGAACATTCTGTGAACAAAACTTCAGATTACTTTTTCTGCAGCATAAAGTAGCTCATTAAATGTTGTTAAAAGTACTTCAAAGTATATCATATTGTTACGAATTTGGCATTTAAATAATTAACGTTAGTTGAATTGTACATTAAATGGTTTTATTTCCCGTGCAGTGCAGTGCGTGACGAATATTAAAAGAAAGCTAAGCCGGAAAATTGAAAGTACAAGAGCGTGTGCATTTAACATTTAATAAATATCTCTTTTTGATTTCCAGAAAGTTCCAGAAAATTCTCGCGCACGATTTTTAAAATCTTATAAATAGGAGGAAAACCTCTCAATTCAATGAGTTAGTTAGTTTGTTGTTGTTTTAAGAGTTTGTTTAGAAAACTGCTCTTGTTGATTGTAGCGAATTTGCGGATTAGCTTTCTTTAGCTGTTTTGAATAAAGTTCTCTTGAACGTTTGAGTAGTTAGAAGAAACTGCTGTGATATATTGTGATACTGCACGATTATTTGAGGACATTTAATCACATTTGTTGTGATAATAATAAATTTTCTTCATTTTTCATTGGACTTGTGCATTCATTTCGTAACGAACCCGTACGCACGCAACAATTTTTGGTGTCAGAAGTGGGATTTGAATGCCAATAACAAGAGAAATGGAAGAAAGTTGAGGCACTTGATATCAGCCTTTACCTCGTTTAAGGAGGAAATGAAAGCGGGACAAGAAGAAATGAAAGACGAGATGAAATCTGGTCAGGAAAAGATGGAAGAATCCGTTAAAAAGGAAATGGAAGCTGTTCACGAAAACAGGGTTCGTACACATTTCTGGACACGGAAATTAAGTACTTTTAAGGACCATTAATGAAAAAAATTAAGGACCTATGAGCGAATGGGAACTGAATAAATTCAATTCAGAATATTATCTATGCCTAAACTTCACTTTTGTAATACCATCCTAGAAATAAAATAGATCTGTAAGTAGGATGCATTATTATTAAACATGACTTAATTAACATAATTATTATTAAGTCTGAGAATAAAATATATGAAATTTATCAAGGAGCATTATATATTTTACACTTATAAGAACTGAACATATCTGAAAGGAGATAAGTGAAATTTTATTTATGTTTTACTAACAGTTAGTTTTATGTTGATTTTATTTTATACCGTATTTTGTCACATACTTGCTCAGTCTAAAGCTTTAGTAAATAGTAAGCAGATTTTATGTGAAGCGGCACAGGTTAAAATGAGAGGTAAAATCATAATCAGCATGATGAACAACAAAAGACTGGCTGTTGTCACTGCTACTGCTTACCTGCAGGGGTTGTGACTTAGTTAATATACTTTAAGGTTCTAATAAGCCACTAAAGCACCAGAGGTGATAAGTTGTTTTACATTATTTTAAGTCTCGCTAGATGCAAAGAATAAGTTTTACATTCTTGTGTTTTATCTTGTGACTACGGTAAGGGTTAATGAAAGGCAATAACTCGCTTTAATATGCAGAGATAAATTTTAAGGGTAAGTTATAAGTAATTAAATTAGGTACAATATAACCTTAGTCATTGTGGATTTGCATGGTCACTATTAAATATTATTTTTTTAGCCCAATTAAAATCCCAATCTAATAAAATTTTACAATTTAAAATACATGTAATTTATGACATTGATTCTTAAATGATATTCGAATAATCACACGTAAAACATTTATGTTTTGTAGTAGCACTACTCAACAAAATAGTTATGCATCTTTTTAATCTGAAGCCTTCCCAGATATTTTGGTTAATTTATATCGATTTCCTTCTCTTTAAGCACCTTTTTTAACAATTAGGAATTTGTTTCAATACACAAAAGAATGCTCTCACTAATTTCTGCGTGTTTTATCTCCTAATCTGTCAACCTGTCCACAATGTATCTATGAAGGTTTATTTGATCTGGTAAAAGTTAATAGTCCAAAACACATCAACAGATATGAAGCAAATTATCGCTATGTCTGAAAGTAACTACAATGTCTGACAAAGGTTTAAATAAGATTCTTATTTAAAAAGAACTTCAAAAATAAAGGCATGTTCTTATGCTAATAACATCAATTACAGCTCGTAGCGATGTAATGAAACAAGAAGACTCAAATTCAAACTAAAAATATGAATTAGTGGTCAAAGACTATACAATTTAACTTGATTTTAAGGCTGGCTCAATAACTCTCTATCATCATAACAAACTCAAATGTCGTCAACGGTAATCCGAGACTAATAATTACAAATTATCAGAGCAGGCAGGATCTAATGCAGTGAGCAAATGGATTTCAGAAACACACTCTTGTCTTGCACTCCAAAAATCTCGGTTTAAAAACTGTCTACGGGATTTGCATTCTGGTGAGAAAATAGAAAAGAGAAATTATAGTAAGGGCTGAAATTGTAAACAATTGGGTAATTTACATAATAATAACTGTACATATCTTTGAAGAATAAATTTGTTTTTCGTTAGGTATTCAGTTTCTTCTTCCATGTTTTCTCTTCATTTTAGAATTTTTGGATTTAATTAAAGATTTCTGATATTCTAAATAAACTAAATGCATTTAGAATGCATAGAAACAGCTGCTAATTTTATTTCTTTAGTAATATGAACATTTAGAAGTAATATGAAATATGTATGGTAAGCTTCGGTTAGAGAGCTGATGTGGCATCATTTTTAGAATTTAGTAACACACCGAGAGATCAGATTGGAAAATGCCTAGTGCCAGCCCTGTGTGTGATGCATTAAGACATATTAGATGAATCTTTTAAATTCTCAATTCTCAATATCTTTATTAATAAAAGAATTCCTTTCTATAATGCTGTTCATATGATAAGATTAGAAGCATTTTTTGATATTTCTATGTTTGTGTCTAGTGAAAAGTAGAGAAAATAAAGGGAAGATTAAAATGTTAAGAAAAGATTCTAGTATCAGAAGTAAAACATTCTACTATAATGTTTTCATTGTTCTTCCAGAGCTTAAATTGCGACCGAGCCCTGCTCCGGCGCAATTTAAGCTCTGGAGAAAACTAATGTATATTTTGAGAATTCTGAATATTCTCAGACAATTACATGGGAAAAGCTCTTACCATGAAAATATTAAAAATGCATTTTTAATTAATCACATAGCTAGTTTGCTTTTGCTAAGAACTGTTTCATAAATGTTGCTTTATAGCATTATACCTTGCTTATTTTCCACATATAATAAATGGCTGAAATTACAATGTTCTAAAAAAAAACTGTCGAAAATATCCTAGATCAAGGAATTAAAAATTTTCTATAGAAATAGATCTTAAAATCGCCAAAATTATGATAAGTTGCCAAAAATTTAGAAGGGTTTAATAAAAGAATTAACATCCCCAAAAGCAAAAAATTGTTTAAGAGCTCTTCATTAGAAAAAATGAAATAATTTTGAAATGCTCATGTTTCACTTCCTGCTCAGAAACTCGAGTATCCCACCATTTAATATTAGAAATAGGAACAAATTATAATCCATGAATATTTGTCAGAAAATAGCCAAAAATATTACTTTAAAATGTTGATTCACACTCAAAATGGCAGTCGTAAAAACAGACAGAAATTTCTGATGATTAAAATTAAGGACCTTCTGACGATTTTGGCCGAAATTAAGGACTTTTAAGGACTCTTAAGGACCGTACAAACCCTGGAAAAGTTGGAAGCTGGTCAAGTAACTTTTAAAGAAGACATAAAAGCTGTACACGAAAAGATTGAAGCAGGTCAAGACGAAATGAAAAGAGAAATAACCTGCGTAATAGAAAGTAAATTTGAGGCTATGGAAGACAGAATAGGAGCTGTCGAAAATAAAGTCGGGCAAATTGAAGAAAAGGTTTCTTTCCTGTCAAAGATGAAATAGAAGATAGAGTGTTGGCTGTGGAGCAACGAGTCGAAGGAAGAGTTTCGGCCTTCCAACAACAAATTGAAGAAATAGTTTCTGCTGTTCAAGGACATATTGAACAACAAATCGAAGATAGAATTTCTGCTGTCATCGCCAAAGATGTTGACACTTTAAAGAAATTTGTAGCGACGGCAGGGAGCACTTCAAATGGTTTAAAATTTCTACACATGCCTGATCATCCCTCTCTGAAGCTATCGACATATGATGGGAAGACCTCCTGGCAGGTGTATAAGACACAATTTTCTATTGTGGCAGATGCAAATGGATGGGCTTCCCAAGCTAAGGCCTGTCATCTCGCCGCTTCTTAGAGAGCCAACGCAGCGGATATCCTTCGGACTCTTCCCGAAAACAAAAGGTTAGATTTCGAAGCTCTGTTCGGTGCCTTGGAGCTGCGCTTTGGGGAGAAGTGTTTAAAAGACTACAGCAGGCTCCAATTCAAATCTCGTTGACAGATGCCTACCGAAACACTTCAGGAGCTCACCACGGATGTTGAAAGGCTGCCCCATCTCGCCTTTTCAGAATGCCGACAGAAACAAGGGAAATCCTGTCCTTGCAATACTTTATCGATGGCATCCATGACCCTGAAATACAGAAAGCACTGTGAATGGCGGACGTTAAAGATTTGAAAAGCGCTTTAGTGTATGCCATGAAATTCAAGGCAGCACAGCAAGCCACTCATCGAGACCGCCACCCAGTCAGAGCTGCTCGAGTCCACGAGCCAGTAGATCAACTGATGGCTCATTTAGATGATTTAGCCAGAGAAGTAAATGCTTTGATATGGGGTAGGAGTGAGAACAAAGTGGCTCTAAGGTGTTGGAAATGTCGTATTGAAGGGCACATATGACGGCACTGCAGAACACCCCAGGGCACGGATAATATAATGGATGATTTGACAAGACCAGTAAACGCCTTGAGACGGGATATTGGTGAGAGGAAACGAACCCTAAAGTGCTGGAACAGCAGTGTGTTGATGGCCACTCACGAAGGAACTGCAGAACATCCCAGAGCACGGAAAAAAAGACAGAGGAGCTAAACAGACTATTAAATGCCCTGAAATGAAACAGAAGTGACAAGAGACCAAAATGATGGAACTGCGGAGCTGAAGGCCACGTGCGAAGGAACTGCAGAACACCTTAGCACACGGAAATTAAGACTATTTCCCAGCAACAACGCAGGAAACAAATTAGTGACCATATCGAAGAACTGAGGTTGCCAGAGAATGAAAAACACCCTTTTAGAGTGCTCAAGATTTCAGCAGTGAGTGGCAACAGTAATGGACTATCCATCAATGGGCATATCGACGGAGGTCCTTGCAATATGATCATTGACACAGGAGCTAATGTTACGATCATTCGGAAAGATTTAACTCAACAATTTAAAGATAAACTGATTTGGATGCCATCCTGTCTTACCTTCCAGACTGCATCTGGTGAAGAAATCTCCATAGCTGGGAAGTTAAATGTGAGCATCATGTTTGGAAGTTCTGTCTACCAACACACTGCTTATGAGGCGGATATCACAGATCCATGCATACTTGGATTGGACTTTTTAAGGAAATACAATTTTTCCTTAAACTTTAAAAACAACAAGCTGTTCTCAGCATCTGAGGACATGACTATCCATACTCAAAAGGGATCCTCACCTGGAAACGCTGATGCCTTGTCTGAAAGACCCAGCTCAGAAAACTGCCAATATTCTGCCGAGGGTCAGAAAGAAACACCAGACTACCAGCCATTCTCTATCGCAGATGCTCTTCGGTGGAGACCTTCGTTAGCATTGTGACAGCCTATTTGGTCGCCCTATGGATGCGCCTTCATCACCTGAGGAGTACATCCAAGATGTCCAGGCCCGTTTTGAAGTGATGCACCGTTCCGCACGAAAGCGAGTCAACTTGGCGACGGAGAAAGTGAAGACCAGATACAACACGAGAGCTATTGGACATAGATTCAACAGAGGAGACAAGGTGTGGTTGTGGAACCCGATTCGACGAAAAGGAGTCAGGCTGGAATTACAGTCACCTTGGGATGGCCCGTACACAGTCCTAAACAGGCTGAATGACGTTGTGGTTCGGATTCGAAGTCTTCAAACTCTAAACCTAAAGTCGTTCATTATGACAGGTTAGCTCATTACTATGGCCATAGTACGTAGTGTAAATAATTGTAAATAGTGTAAGACCATGGTCCTTTTTGTTTCTAAATGTGTATTTGATTTGATTTGATTTGTATTTAGTATTTGATAGCATTTGATTTGTTTAAAGTTATAGTTATTGCATTTATTGTTCATGTTGTTTATTATTGTAATGTAATGCTTATTACTGCATTTATGCCACACTTGTAAGTCTGGCTTCCTGTCCAGGGATTGTACTGCCCCGGACGTGCAGTCCTTGGGAAGGGGGCAGTGTTACGAATTTGGCATTTAAATAATCAACGTTAGTTGAATTGTAAATTAAATGGTTTTATTTCCCGCGCAGTGCAGCGCGTGACGAATATTAAAAGAAAGTTAAGCCGGAAAATTGGAAAATACAAGAGCGCGTGCATTTAACATTTAATAAATATCTCTCATTTTGATTTCGAGAAAGTTCCAGAAAATTACTCGCGCGCGATTTCAAAAATCTTATAAAAAGGAGGAAAACCTCTCAATTCGATGAGTTAGTTAGTTGTTGATTTAAGAGTTTGTTTAGAAAACTGCTCCTTGTTGATTGTAGCGAATCGAGGATTAGCTTTCTTTAGCTGTTTTGAATTAAGTTCTCTTGAACGTTTGAGTAGTTAGAAGATACTACTGTGATACATTGTGATACTGCATGATTATTTGAGGACATTTAATCATATTTGTTGTGATAATAATAAATTTTCTTCATTTTTCATTGGACTTGTGCATTCATTTCATAACAAACCCGTACGCACGCAACAATATTGATAAATAAAGCATTAAAATGGCCTCCATTTTTTTAGAAGTATATCAGGCTGCATAGTTTTGAAATTACCTATATATACACATAAATATATATGCATGCATATAGTTATTTGAACCTACATTGAAAATAGGCACTTCTACAATGAAAATCAAATCCATTTCAGGTTAAAAATTTGGAGATTAAATCTGCTAAGACTGGCTACTTGTCTTTCAATTTTGGTGACTGCCTGAGGTGGCCACATAAGAAGAAGTACCTCAAGTACTTAATAACCAATCCAATGAATAAATGGCATTTCTTCTGAAGCTTCAAATAAAATTACTTGGGCTTATATTTTGAAGGAAACTCAATAACAGCAAATGTCAAAAACTGAAATAAATACTCGATATAATGAATATGTACATAAGGGTACTGTACTTCTAAATAACATGAAATTACAGCAGTTTACTAAAAGTTAATTTTTGCATTACATATCATTTCAAAGTCTAATAAAATTAATTAAGTAGAAATTTAGCCTCACCTCCTCAATACTTTTATTTCATTTTCTAAAGAATCTTCTTTTCCTTTAAGTGCCTTTTTGTCGATACATTTAATGGCATACATCTTTGAGCTTTCCTCTTTACTTTCCGCCAGCACCACTTGAGAAAATGCTCCACTGAAAGGAATAGAATTTTACAGTTTTAAACAGCACAGTATAAATTCCATATGCTTTAAATTACATAACTATAATCAGTTTTAAGAAAAGCGCCACGGAAAGCCAGCCTATCTCATCAGCTAAAACTTAAATAATAAAGAAGAGAAAGTTGTCGGCAAAAGTTTCAACAGGACTGAGTATGCAAATGCAGTTTCACACCTGTGAATTTGATCTTCAATATTACAATTTGAGAATAATAATATAATTTACAGTACAACCAAGCTATACTTCATGAATGAATGCAGTTTCTTAAATATCATTTCCTAGGTAGAGTTTAAGTATTTTTGGTACTTTTTTGCTTACAAGGTGCCACTTAGCACCAAACATGGACATTGGTACAAATCTAACTAGATAGCGAGGCCCACCAGCGGCCAAGCAGTAAAGTCGCTGAACACTGGTAGTTCGGTCTGAGGTTCGAATCCCACGAACGGGCTGGCTGCATGGGTGTTTTCGTGGTTTTCCCCATGTGTAACGTGTATACGAGCCAGTTTCCCTTAGAAAGTCCTCCACGAAGGCATCCCTCCCCTTAGGCAGATAGCCCTAGTGTGCTTTGCCATAATTAAATACACCAACACCTAACTAGATAGCAGCAACTCTAACAATTCACATAGCTTCATGAAAAGAATAATTACTTTATATACATTGATTTATACTTTTATTTACATACATTAATTACTTCATATACAGTTTAATGTGCCCAATATCAAATTTGTGTAATTCACCATTTATTATTATTATTATTATTATTATTATTAAGCGAAAACAGATCACTATCTGTGAGGAAAATGAATTTGTTCTTCCCAATCTGCTTTGCTTAAGAACATCACAGAATTACACAACTATTCAGAACACGATATAAATTAGCTACAACATTTGGCTACTGGTACCCTCTTTAACAGAAAAGTACCCTATTTTTATGTAATATATTGACATTATTTGTTAGCATCATAAAATATGTATTCATTTATAAGTAATGAGAGAATAGGGGGATTAAATAATCAATTTCTTATATTTGACTAGATCAGTAGTTCTCAATCTGTTAATCCCATGGAACTTTCGCCACTGTTAGATCACTCATCTTCTCTCTCTCCCAAAAATTGAAAAAATACATATGTATTTATTTAGATTACTTTTTAACTGCACAGCAGGAAGCAGGTGAAATCGGCAGACCATATTCTACCCTGAATCTAAGAAATCTTCCCCCAGGAGGAATTCCTGAACTAAATGCTATTTTGCTCAGATGTTAAGCAAATCTACCTTTCATCATAGCTGAGACAGATTTTACTGTACTCCCCAACTAAAAAGTTAAAATGCTGAATTTCATAAAAACGTATATAAAATCCTCCCCATTTAAATCAATTTCTTTTAACTGGAAATTTTGGTTTTTAATCAATTTTTCATAAACTAGCATAATACTAAAAAAATAAACCAATTTCTAAATGTACAGTATGAAGTCTGAAAATCCAATATGCCCTCCGAACCACCAGTTTTTGCAAAATGGAAGAAAGAAATTGATTCTGAGAGTAGTGCCTTGTATTAGGATATGCTTAATGTTCCACATATACACAGTACACACTTTTCCATAATAAAGCACATGGAAGATCCTGATTCTTAATTTCACTTAAGCACTAAATAAAACACTTCCATAATCATTTATTAGCATAAATATGTATGATCAATAACTTGACTCTGTAGCTGTCGTTTTTTCTATGCATGCATCACAAATATTAAAGCATTCTACCAAAGCTCCTCACTGGTTTTACACTTACTGAATAACTTATATTCTTGACTTTAAACTGGCAAATAAATTTTTATTATTTTTGGCTTTCACCACCACATGATTATCAACTTATTGCAACCTCAGAAATGATTCTTCAACATTAGCAATGGAACACATTCAACATTACCAATGGAATACATTCAACATTGCCGATGGAATACAGTCAAAAGTAGTTAATCCGGACTCATTGGGACTTCGTCGATTCTGGATTATCGATTTTTCCAGATTATAGATCATCAGTTTAAATCTCGTAAGATGGCATGCAGAAATTCTAAAATTAAAAATATAAAACCGTAATTTATGAAATAAAGAACAATTATGATCTAAAGGGTATCAAAATTTACAAAAAAAAAAGCTTAATATTTATTTGTTTACTTTATTAAACATTTCTTTCATGTAAGTGTTTAAGTTGCTTCGTTTTATGTGATAATACTTTCTCTTTATTCTATAAATAGACATAATTTCTTGTTCAGTTACAAAGTTCCGCTGTTCAAGTACCGTAATTGCTGTGCCCCGAGAATACCGACTAACTTGTCAATCGAAATTTTTTCATTTCACTAACCTCTCTGTCACTTCTCATGTCTTTATCCATTTTTTGCAGCAATTCCACTTTTTGTTTGACGAACATCGAAACATACTTTTGTTTTGTAGATCCTTTGGGAGCTCCAGCATCGGAAATTCTATTTGACATAATCTATACGAAACTTCAAGTTTACTTTTATAAAATTGTTCTTACAGTCTGCAAAAAATAATAAGCCACATCCAACTCGAAGATTAAGGAACAACACAATCATCAACATTAACTGAAATAGATAATTAGATAATTTTAGCTTATACCGTACGTTATACATTAAACAGGCACGCGAAAACATATTCTGCGCTTGTGCACATGCATATGCAAAGTCGTAAAGGTCTTACGCACACGCGTAAACGCCTTTTCGCATGTGTCAATGCGCCGCATGCGCAGAAAGTTTTTAGCTTTGAGGTCCAGATTATAGATCATTCCGGATTATGGGAGTCCAAATTAACGACTTTTGACTGTACATGGTATGAAGTACGGTATGTCTGTATCACTTGACAATTACAGACTTCAGCCAACACCTGCATGCAAAGTGTTGACAATAATCATTAACAAAGATTTCCTTCCATACGCAAAAAATAGATTTTGTAAATGATTAGGCCAAAAGATTACATTTAAAGCTGTTTGAATGAAAAATAATTAATTTGTTGGTACTATTCGGTTTCGAGGGCCATAAAAAATCGCCAAACTATTGTTGATGCTAGTGCTGCCAAAAGTAATTGTAGCAACCCTAACGCAAGAAAAGAAGTATAATAGTAAACAACTATCTAAATATTGATGGTTTAATCTAGATGAAAGTTTAATTTCATATAATATTTCGCTACCGAGTTATCGCTAAAGCATAATGTCATGTCGTTGGTTGTTCAAACATAATTTTCTATAATGAATGATGCCTTTTCTTTGAAAACATTTTCGGTAAAGTGCAGAATCGCCCGCTTATTTCTTTGCCGCTTTTTACAAAGGTAAAAACAATTGGAATTTGGTCAATTTTTCTTTTACTTTTTAAGTGACAATAGGTCGATCTGTACATAGATAAAGTCGTCGGTGGGGGCCATTTTTGTGTAATTCTGGGATTTTTTTTTAAGTGAAAATAAGTCGATGTGTACATGGATACCGAGTATGTGTAATTCTTAAAAACGCATCAAGCAGTGGGTGTACAAAGTCTTTAATCTGGGCATTCATAATATGGAATGATCTATAATCCAGACCACAAAGCTACAAACTTTCTGCGCATTTAATGTATAACAGACGGTATAAGCTAGGTTAAAATTATCCAATTTTCTATTTCAGTTAATGTTGCAGATTGCGTTGTTCCTTAATCTTCTAATTGGATCCGGCTTATTATTTTTTGCAAACTGTTAGAGCAATTTTATATAAAGTAAGCTTGAACTTTCTATTATGTCAAAAAGAGTTTCCGATTCTGGAGACGCCAAAGGATCTACAAAGCGAAAGCATGTTTCGACGAACTGCCGCTCAGATTACATGCGAGTTAAAATAAATAACTAATATTTAGGCTTAACTTCCTCAGCATGCAATAGAAGCAAAATATAATTTAGTGGAACAACATGGCTTTAGTCACCAGTCTCATGATATACTGCCAGTAGTGCATAGCAGATGTGGCTATGTATGAAGCTATGCTAAAACACTACTGATTTTGAGGAACTTAAGTTCAGTTAATATAGATAAACTGCACTGTTCCTTAGCTGTCTAATTTTATAAAGCTTATTATTTTTTCAGGATATTATTTTTATAAAAATCTTATGAAAATTAATCTTATAAATTTTCAAGTATGTCGAAAAAAGTTTCCAATTCTGGAGCTCCAGCAGGACTCGCAAAGTGAAAGCATGTTTCGATGTCTATTATGCAAAAAGTGGAATTGCTGCAAAAAATTCATAAAGAGACATCTGTCTTAAAATTATGTGAGGCATATGGCACTAGAAAAGTTACTCATTCACATGTCCAATGTGAACTGCTCAGGCCAAAATATTTAAAGTGAAAATGGGCTAAAAATGAATGCACAAACACGACAGGATGGTTAACTAAATTTAACAGCTGTCTTAGGATGTCAGTTAAATGTTTCACATGATAAAGCTTCAGCTGAACTATTTGCAGATGAATTGACTGAACACAGAAAAGTTATGTCCAGAAAAAATTACAATGAAACTGGTCTTTTCTGGCAATATGTAGCCTCATATATCTTGACAACCTCTGCAGAAAAGTCTCCATCTGGTGTCAAAGATTTTAAATCAAGACTAATAATTTTAACGTGATGAAATGCTGCCAGAATGCACAACTAAAAACTTTTTGTAATCAGAAAAAAATAAAGGACTCAAGGCATTTAAATAAGTAAAGATTCATCTATTGTCCCAATAAAAGAGTATGGATGTCACACATATTAATGAATGTTTATTTTGAAAATCATTTTATATTTGAGGCTTGGCAATATTTGAAATTCATAGATTTACTGGGTGTTGCCAAAAGAAAAATCCTGATTATAGACCACCGTTTGACTCCTCCCAACTTACAGTTCAGATGAAAGATCACACTTTCTTATGACTTTTATAATTATTCTTTCCTCCAAACTATACATCTATCATTCAG